ATACTTGGGCTGCATGTTCGATCCCTAGCCGTGGTCACAGCGGGTGTGGGAGGCAACCAATGGATGGACCTATTTCACACTGATGTTTCTCTCTTTCTCTCCCTCCTTTCTCCTATCTCTAAAAAATCAATGGGGCCCTGCCGTGTGGCTCAGTGGTTGCACGTTGACCTATGAAACAGGTGGTCACGGTTTGGTCCTGGTCAGGGCACCTGCCCTGCTTGCAGGCTCGATCCCCAAAGAGTAGGCGTGCAGGAGGCAGATGTTTCTCTCTCCCTCTCCCTTCCTCTCTGAAATCAATAAAAATATATTTAAAAAATAAAAATCAATGGAAAAAAATATATTCTCAGGTGAGGATTAACAAAAAAATGTTACACACACACACACACACACACACACACACACACCCCGGACTATTACTCAGCCATGAGAAAGCAGGAAATCCTGCCATTTGCAACAACGTAAGTGGACCTTGATATGCTAAGTGAGATAAATTGGACGGAAAAAACAAATGCTGCATGATATTGCTTACACATAGAATCTAGAAAAAAGCCAGGCTGTTAAAAACAGAGAAAATGTATGCAGGGCTGGGGGAATTGGGATGTTATTTGAGGGTATAAGCTTGAAACACTACCTGATGCCCAGCAGTGACTGCAGTCAGTCCTGTGCTATAACTCAGACTGGCTAAGAGACTGTCCTGGTTGTCCCAGCACAAAAAGAATTGTTCACCTTGTGCGTGACGGAAGTGTTAGCCAACCCTACCGCAATATCAGTGCTTCAGATGTTTGGTTTGTATTTTTTATGGTTTTTTTGTTGCTGTTGATCCTCACTCGAGGATATTTTTTCCATTGATTTTTTTGAGAGAGTGGGAGGGAGGGAGGGAGGGAGGAAGAGAGAGAGAGAAGGGGGGGGGAGAGAGAGAGAAACATTGATGTGAGAGAGGCACATTGATTGCCTCCTACACACACCAACTGGGGCTAGGGATAGAACCTACAACCCAGGAATTGATTATAGGAATTGATCAATTCCCTTGGCCGGGAATTGATCCCATGACCCTTTGGTGGGAGGGCCAACACTAACCACTGAACCAATGTTACATGTCAGTCACATCTCATTCAGTAAATTAAAAAAGAGCCCAGCTGGCTTGGCTCAGTAGTTGAGCGTCAACCTATGAACCAGAAGGTCATGGTTCAGCCGGGACCGGTTTGGCTCAGTGGATAGAGCGTCGGCCTGCTGACTGAAAGGTCCTGGGTTCGATTCCGGTTGAGGGCATGTATCTTGGTTGCGGGCACATCCCCAGTAGGGGGTGTGCAAGAGGCAGCTGATCGATGATTCTCTCTCATCGATGTTTCTAACTCTGTTCCTCTCTCTTCCTCTCTGTGAAAAATAAATTATTTATATATATATATATACATACATATATATATAAAAGGTCAGGCACATGCCTGGGTTGTGGGCTCAATTCCCAGTGGGTGGTGTGCAGGAGGCAGCTGATCAATGATTTTCTCTCCCTCTCCTTTCCTCTCTGAAACCAAAAAGAATATATCTTTTTGCCAGGACCGGTTTGGCTCAATGGATGGAGCGTCGGCTTGGGGACTGAAGGGTCCCGGGTTCAATTCCGGTCAAGGGCATGTACCTTGGTTGCAGGCGTATCCCCAGTGGGGGGTGTGCAGGAGGCAGCTGATCGATGACTCTCTCTCATCGATGTTTCTGGCTCTCTATCTCTCTCCCTTCCTCTCTGTATAAAATTCAATAAAATATATTAAAAAAGAAAAAAAAAGAAAAAGAATATATCTTTTTAAAAGAGTATCTGGAGCCCTAAATGGTGTGGCTCAGTGGATAGAGCATCAGTCTGTGGACTGGGGGGGTCCCGGGTTCGATTCCGGTCAAGGGCATGTACCGTGGTTGCAGGCACATCCCCAGCAGGGGGTGTGCAGGAGGCAGTTGATCGATGTTTCTAACTCTCTATCCCTCTCTCTCCTCTCTGTAAAAAATCAATAAATATACATAGTTTAAAAAGAGTAACAGGATACTAGTCTTACCAACAGTGAGACACACTGTGAAGGGACTGGAAGAGTATGGCTCTGGAGCAGGACAGTGGCAGCAAAGAGGCACACAGACAGGGAGAATGCACACGGCAGTCACACATGGTGACCGCGGGCACTCAGGTCACTGGGAAAGACGGTTATTCCACAAATTCTGCTAAAACTGCTTCATTCTTACGATTCTCTTACAACTAGTGAGCGTCTTGAACCAAAAAGGGGGCAGAGGACTCTCCACCCAACACTGACGCCCTGAGGAACAGCGGGCAGATCAAAGGTTCAAACAAAACCAGCCACGACTGCCCGCTGTGTGTGTTGTGTCGGTGGTGTCTCGGAAGGCCTTGCTCAGCGGCCGCCCTCCTGCTGGGGGCTCCTCACTCAGCCCCCGGGGTTTGAAATCTCTCACGAGGGAACGGTGGCAGCACAGGAAGGACGGGGCCGGCCGTGCTTCCTCTCAGAGAGCACTGGCTGAGCGCCCGCCAGCAGAGCACGGAGGCAGAACAATGGGTCAGCAGCCACACACGCACCATGCTCCCCATCACAGCGCCAGGCTGGCAAACACTGAGACTGGCAGAACCACAGGGTGCTTTCACCCGCTGACCTCAGGCCAGACTCGGACATGGAGGCGTGGGGCAGGGGCAGGGCGGCGGGCAGGGCCTGGCTGAGCAGCAGGCTGGCCCCGGCCAGGAAGACGGGAGCGTTTCTGATGCCCCCGCAGGGAGGTGTTTTCCAAGCTCACTTGTTAAAGAAGGAAACTGAGGTGCACGATGATGCACCTTGAGTTAAAAATTTAAAAAGACAGAATTTAGCCGAAACCGGTGTGGCTCAGTAAATAGAGTGTCAGTCTGTGGACTGAAAGGTCCCAGGTTCGATTCTGGTCAAGGGCATGTATCTTGGTTGCGGGCACATCCCCAGCAGGAGGCAGCTAGTCAATGTTTCTCTCCCATCGATGTTTCTAGCTCTCTCTTCCTCTCTGTAAAAAATCAATTATATATATATATATATATATATATATATATATATATATATATATATATATATATTTTTTTTTTTTTTTTTTTTAAGACAGAATTTAAAAATATATAATTTATAAAACTCAGATACAGAACCAGAAGGAAACTGAGGCTGGGACAGATGGAAACACTTCTCGCTCCATCTGCACATCTGAGGTTTGTTTGTTTGCTCACCTCACCTGCAAACATTTCTCTACTGTTTTTTTTAGAGAGAATGGAAGGTGGGAGGGAGAAAGAGAAGGGAGACTCATGGACCCAACCAGGGTGTGGATCTATCCCGAGCCCAGGTACGTGCCCTTGACAGGAATCACACCCTCACCTCTCCGATGCTGGGCCAATGCTCTACCCACTGAGCATACTGGCCAGGGCTTGTGTGTCTGGTTTTGTGCCACGTGCATCCCTTATCCAAACCGACAGGAAAGGGTAGAGGTGCCATGTCACGCGCAGACGGTGAGGTCTGCACAGTAGCCCCTCTGGTCACTCGTGTCGGAGGGACCCTCCCTCCACCTCTGGTCCCAAAGATCGCGCAGATGCGATGCACCAATTTCATCACCACCAGCAGGAACTGCCCCCAAAGTGCAGACACACAGTCCTCTCAGCTCCTGGGCGCCGGCCAGGCATCTCACGCCACAGGCTCACACCCTCTCCGCTGACAGCCTCCTGCTCCCGTCAGTGACACCCATCCTCCAGGGGCCCCTCCTGGCACCTACAGCCAGCACCTGCAAATGCTGGCAGCGGGAAACCCAAGTGGCTGCAGAATCCAAGTGCCATGCCTGGCAAGGCCTAGGCCGCCTCAGTGGGTCCTTCCCAAACGGCTCAGCATACGAGTGAATCAGAGGAGTCATTGGCCACCGACACGGCCACACTGAAACGAACAGCCCCACAGCCTCATAGCATCTCCCCGGGACGCCTACTAGTCACGAGGAAAGGCAGACTAGCTTTGAAGCGGAGAAACCAGCGGGCTCTCCCGAGCCAAGCGTCAGGGCTCAGGGCCCCGGAGCCAGGGCAGCAGACAGGCTGAGCCCGTGTGCACAGAGGGCACAGCCACCTCCTGTGGTGCCAGCCCCAAATGCAGAGCCTCCACCCAATCTCCAGGCACCAACCGCAGCCGGCCCCCCTCAGAATGTCCCAGTGTGAGGAGTCCCAGCTGGAGCAGACAGGGCCTCGGCTGCACTACGGTTACCAAAAGCCAGATCCAATACGGAGACTAGCCACAGTGCCAACCGGCTGCGGCTCAGCGGCGTCACTGGTCAGTGCGGCACTTCCTGCTGCAGGAACAACCATGTCCCTGCTCTCAGACACCTGGCTGTCCCCTGGGTGTCAGGCAAAGGGATCTGACTCTCAGCTGGTCCCCTGCTGATATCAAGCACTCACATGCTTGATAACCCGCTGGGGGGGCCAGCCAAGGCGCAGGGGCGAGCGGGCACCTGTGCACTGGGAGGTCACGGTTTGGTTCCGTCAGGCACGTGGTTGCGGGCTTGATGCTTAGTGTGGGACATGCAGGAGGTTCTCTCTCATCATTGATGTTTCTCTCTCCCCCTCTCCCTTCCTCTCTGAAGTCAATAAATATATTTTGAGAAAATACCTACAGAAGTCTTTGCACTATTTTTGCAACTTTTGTGTGTTGTTTCAAATTATATCAAATTAAAAAGTAAATAAAGCATCCAGCCGTCAAGCCCCCAAAACCAGGCCTTCTTCACCCAGCACATGTCCCCGTGGATGGAGCTTGGCCTGTGGCCTCTGGGTGGCCTGCACCATCACCCAGAACAGCTGGAAAAGTAGGAAGGTCAGAGTCTGCGGGCCAGGCCCAGTTTACCTGCCAGCTGGCCCAAGCAGCCTCCGGTGATCACCCATCTAAACAGAACTTTACTTTTTAATTTTAATGTATATTTTTTATTGATTTCAGAGAGGGAGGGAGATAGAAACATCAATGATGAGAGAGAATCACTGATTGGCTGCCTCATGCACGCCCCCCACTGGGGATCTAGCCAACCCAAGCATGTGTCCTTGATTAGAATCAAACCTGGGACCCTTCAGTCCAAAGGATAACACTCTATCCACTGAGCTAAACCGGCCAGGGCTAAACAGAACTTTAATACCAGGCCCTGGCCCCCAAGGACCCTAACAGGATCTTACTTATGGGCCTGCCCACCCAGCCATAAGGTCACACCCTGGCCAGGAGCAAGGAGGTGACTGAATCTATGGGTAGGAGCACCCCAGCTTAGCCTGGGAGGAAGGATGCAGCCATGAGGGCCTCTTAAAAATCATCCTTTTTTTGTGGGGCTACAGGGAGAAGGTCATGGGGGCCAGGAAGGGGCATCTGATCTCGAGGTCTCGATGCAAGAAAGTCCACACCAGGGGTGCTGCCAGCTGCTGTCTCCCTGTCTCTACCCCCCAGTGTCTCTGCACCTGTGCATGCCACCCCACTCTGACCCACCTGGAGCTGAGGTGAGCCAGGTGAAGATTTGGATGGTCCCCAAACTGCTGGGGGAGGAGCCCCCACCCCCATCACATCCAGGGCTCTTTCTGAGTCTGGCAGCTCCTGGCAGACCTCTCATGGCCAACAGCACCTCTCTAGATTGACTCGTGGGAGGCCACACTCAGTATGGAGGAAGGGGTGTGGCTTCCTGGTAGACAGGGAGTGGGCAGGCAGCTGTGTCAGGTCTGCCTTGGGCTGCTGGCAGTATGTGAGTTCTTGACCTTGAGCAGGAAAATTTTAACAAGACAAGTCTAGAAGGCACTGGCCAGTCTGGCTCAGTAGACAGAGCGCTGGCCTTCGGACTGAAGGGTCCTGGATTCGATTCTGGTCAAGGGAACATGCCCCAGGTTGTAAGCTAAATTCCCAGTCAGGAGTGTACAGGAGGCAGCCAGTCAATGATTCTCTCTCATCATTGATGTTTCTATATCTCTCCCTCTCCCTTCCTCTCTGAAATTAAAAAAAAAAAAAAAGACATATGTTTTAAAAAACAAACGAGACCAGGTGATTCTGAGAGTACATTTATTAAAGCTGGGGCCAGGGGGCCAGGAAGGGCTTAGGGAAGAAAGAGCTACAAGAGGGCCTCGACCAGGCGCTCTGACCCCTAGGAACGGTGGGAAAGCCGTGGCCCGAGCCTGCATGGGCTCCCTGGGAGTGAAGGTCAGAGAAGTGAGTGCACTGGGAAGTCAGAGGAAAGGGGGCCTCGGCGACATGTTCAGGGGTGAGCCTGGGACCAGCTGCCACTGCCCACTGCTGCCCTGGTGGCAAGTCCAGGGGGCCCCGCAGAGCTGGGGGGAGGAAAGCGAAGATGCACCGAGAGGGAGGAGAGGACTCCTGCGCTGGGTCTCATCTGCTCCCGGAAGGCCGGGTTTTAGGGGAGGCCGGGGGAGGGCCTAGAGCACCATCAGCTTTCTGCTGTAGTGAGAGGCACCCCCGCCTCCCTCGGCCTTGTGGCAGCCAAATGGCACAGTTTGACTTGTGGCGTGAGAAGTATAAAACGTGCTCCTAGTGGCCGTGAGTAGGAAGGAGGGGTTTGCAAGCTACTGGACGGCTGTCGATCCCTCGGCCTCTAAACTATTTGTGTGATCCTTGGTAGGTTTTCCAGTGGTTAGAGCGTCAGCCTGCAGACCGAAGCATCTCGGGTTCCATCTGGTCACGGGTACCCACCTCGGTTGCAGGCTTGCTCTCAGCCCCCAGTAGGGGTGTGGACAGGAACCAGTTGATGTTTCTTTCTCACATCAATGTTTCTCTCCCCCACACCCTCTCCTCCCTCCCTTTCACTCTCTCTGGAAATCAATGGAAAAAATATCCTCAGGTGAGGATTAAAACACAACAAACTCTCTGTCCCAGTTCCCTATTCCACTTATCCAGCTTTCTAGCCTCTCTTTCCCACTAGTGGAGGGCCCAGTCACACCCTCCTGCTTGGGGATAGGTCTGGAGACAGCAGACCGGCTCAGCCCCGCCCTCCACCCAGCCCCTGACCTCAGGGCACTAAGCCTGGCAGACTCGGCCTTGACCTCCACCCACTCTGGCACTCTGCCCTTCCCCACCCCCACCCCGCCCAGCCGGATGCAAGGCTGGGCCTCTGGGCGTGAGCCTGCTCTTCTCCCTGGGACAGGCCTCTTACGCCAGAGGTTCAAGTCCACCCTCCTGGCCTCTAGGCCTCACCCCGTCACCTCCCAGCCAGGCCAGTGCTGGGAGTCACCACTCAGAGCCCAGTGCCTGCAGGGTCTGCCCACCCAGAGGACTGGTCACTGATGGGGGACAGCTACTGCATGCAAGTGCTGGACAGACTGGAGACTGGGGGCTCCTCTTCTGAAACTCAGCAGGTGGGGGGAAGGGCAGGAGACAGTCCCACAGGCCCAACCTGCGGCCGGGGGGCTTCTTAAAAGGCACTGCAGCAGGGGAAGGACCGGCAGAGGGAGGGAGGGAGGAGGAAGGCTGGGACCTGCCTCACCACACGCGTGGCTCAAGGCGGGAGGCGCGGTGCACGCACTGCCAGCGCAGGCTCAGCCCTGGGGGTCCAGTGCTTCTTTAAAGGGAGGCCAAGACACAATAAAAGCCAAGGCTGACAAACAGGGTTTCATAACCACCCCGTTTCCGCTGCGCAGACGCGCAGTGAGGACAGAAACAGAGTCAGGGCCTGGGGTGCTCCGAGGCCGGTCTGATAAAAACTGACGCAGAGCACTTTGAACTTTAAAACTCAACAAGTTTTTAAAAGCTCTTTTTTAAAATTAAATATATATTTATTTATTTCAGAGAGGGGGAGAGAGGGAAAGAGATGTAGAAACATCCATGATGAGAGAGAATCACCGATCGGCTGCCCCTTGCACTCACCATACTGGGGATCCAGCCCTCAGCTAGGGCAGAATCGAACCTGGGACCCTTCAGTCCGCAATCCAATGCTCTATCCTCTGAGCCATACCAGCTAGGTCAAAACTCGGTTTTCTTAAAATAGTTGAACAGCCTCTTCATGTGGGAAAACACACAAATGGCTGTAAGCACATTACTCGTAAAACCAGGCCCACGTAGCACATCAGCAGGGCAATGCCCCTGGGAACCCATTCAAATGACTGTACAGAGAGGATGTAACAAATGATCCCAAAACTCAGCGGCATAAAACAAGCGTGTATTGTGCTCAGAGTTCTGTGGGACCAGCAAGGACCACGGGTCTCTCCTCCATGTGCACAGACGTGGTCCTGCGGCTGAATCCCCCTGAGGTGCCTCATGCATGACTGTCCCCTGGGCTGGGCGTGGCTGGAGGGAGCTGCTGAGCATGTGTCTCCATCTCTAGGTGGTCTCTCCACAGTGGCAGCTCCGGCTGCAGGATGGGAGTGTTGACAGAGACAGAGACAGAGGCAGAGACAGAGACAGAGGCAGAGGGAGAGACAGAGGCAGAGGGAGAGGCAGAAACAGAGGCAGAGGCAGAGACAGAGACAGAGACAGAGACAGAGGCAGACAGAGGCAGAGGCAGAGACAGAGGCAGAGGCAGAGACAGAGGCAGAGACAGAGACAGAGGGAGAGGGAGAGACAGAGGCAGAGGGAGAGGCAGAAACAGAGGCAGAGGCAGAGACAGAGGCAGAGACAGAGGCAGAGAGAGAGACAGAGGCAGAGACAGAGACAGAGGGAGAGGGAGAGACAGAGGCAGAGGGAGAGGCAGAAACAGAGGCAGAGGCAGAGACAGAGGCAGAGACAGAGGCAGAGAGAGAGACAGAGGCAGAGGGAGAGGCAGAGGCAGAGGCAGAGACAGAGACAGAGACAGAGACAGAGACAGAGACAGAGACAGAGGCAGACAGAGGCAGAGGCAGAGACAGAGGCAGAGGCAGAGGCAGAGACAGAGGCAGAGGCAGAGGCAGAGGCAGAGACAGAGGCAGAGGCAGAGGCAGAGACAGAGGCAGAGGGAGAGACAGAGGCAGAGGGAGAGGCAGAAACAGAGGCAGAGGCAGAGACAGAGGCAGAGGCAGAGGCAGAGACAGAGACAGAGACAGAGGCAGAGGCAGAGACAGAGGCAGAGGCAGAGAGAGAAGAAGAGGCAGAGGCAGAGGCAGAGGCAGGGGCAGAGGCAGAGAGAGAAGAAGAGGCAGAGGCAGAGGCAGAGGCAGGGGCAGAGGCAGAGGCAGAGGCAGAGGCAGAGGCAGGGGCAGAGGCAGGGACAGAGGCAGAGACAGAGGCAGAGACAGAGACAGAGGCAGAGACAGAGGCAGAGGCAGGGGCAGAGGCAGAGACAGAGGCAGAGGCAGAGACAGAGGCAGAGACAGAGGCAGAGGCAGGGGCAGAGGCAGGGACAGAGGCAGAGACAGAGGCAGAGGCAGAGACAGAGGCAGAGACAGAGACAGAGGCAGAGGAAGAGGCAGAGACAGAGGCAGAGGCAGAGGCAGAGGCAGAGGCAGAGGCAGAGAGAGAAGAAGAGGCAGAGGCAGAGGCAGAGGGAGAGAGAGAGACTGAGGGAGAGACAGAGGCAGAGGCAGAGGCAGAGGCAGAGGGAGAGGGAGAGACAGAGGCAGAGGCAGAGGGAGAGACAGGCAGAGGCAGAGGCAGAGAGAGACTGAGGGATGGGAGCAGTATGGACACTCTCACCTTTCCTCATCCAGCCTGAAGTCATGCAGTGGGACATCTGCCATGTCCTTGTCAGCAGCATGAGCCACGAGGGCCAGCCCCGATCAAGGGAAGGACACGGAATCCAGGCTTTGTGGGAGGAGAATGAGAGTGTGGGGCCAGGTTAAAGCCACAGGCAGAGGCGGAGAGCCGCCCCGCCCACGCAACAGGAGCGGATCCAACCCAGGGAAGCACACGGGCCTTTCAAACTTTTTGACCAGCGTCTTCAAGTGACGTCTCCCACGCAGGCCCTGCCCTCCTCGAGGCGCCCGTTCCTCCGGGTGAGGAAACAACCCCCGAGACGCATTACGTCCTGTTTGAAAGCACTAACAGGAAGCTCTGTCACTGTTGTGGTGTATGTGCCTAACACCTAACCTTAAGTACACACAGCACCCAACTTCATCTGTAGAGTCAACGCAATCCCCCTCAGAACCCAGCCTGCTGTCTTGTGGACATGGACCAACTGATTCTAAAGTTTACATGGAGGCGGAAGACCCAGAGCAGCCAAAGAAACCGTGAAGGAGCCCTCGCTGGTTTGGCTCAGTGGATAGAGCCTGTGACTGAGGGTCCCAATTTCAAGTCAAGGGCATGTACCAGTTGCGGCTTGATCCCCAGCCCTGGTCAGGGCACATGTGGGAGGTAGCCTATCAGTGTGTCTCTGTCACATTGATGTTTCTCCTCCTCCTTTCCATTCTAAAAACCAATGGGAAAACATCCTTGGGTGAGGATTAACAACAAAATAAAATAATAAAAAAGCCAAAACCGGTTTGGCTCAGTGGATAGAGGGTCGGCCTTTGGACTGAAGGGTCTCAGGTTCAATTCCGGTCAGGGGCATGTGCCTTGGTTGCGGGCACGTCCCTGGTGGGCAGTGTGCAGGAGGCAGCTGATTGGTGATTCTCTCTCATCGATCTTTCTAGCTCTCTATCCTCTCTGTAAAAAAATCAACAAAATATATATATATTTTTTAAAATAATAAAAATAAAAAACAATGAAGGTGAAGAACAGAGTTGGAGGACTGACGCCACCGACTGCAAGACTGACTGTAAAGCTACAGCGATCAGGACAGCGTGGTCACTGTGAAAGAACAGACACAGCCCAACAGAGCAGGACAGAGCCCAGAAACAGACCCACAGACAGGGCCAGCTGATCTCACCAAAGGAGCAGACAGCTCAAGGAGAAAGCACAGTCTCCTCAGCAAATGGTGCTGGAACCGCCGGGCATCCACAGGCCAAACAATGAGTCTGCACGCAGCGTTAACCCGAATGGACCACAGGCCTAAACGTAAAACGCACACGTGTG